ACAAAAGAGCTGTTCGAGACAACATTCTCCCCACTGTTAGCAGAAGATGCTGTTGTTTGCCACCTGCCTGATACCTGTATAATCACCTGTGAGCATGATGTGCTCAGAGATGATGGACTGTTGTATAAGAAGCGGTTAGAGGACAACAACGTAAAAGTGACCTGGCACCATATGGAAAAAGGCTTCCACTGTGCACTGGGATTTTTTGGTTATGGTATTTTCTCTTTTCCATCATCAACGAAAATGGTGAACCACATGGTAAACTTTATCAAAGGCTATTGAAATGTTTTCTTGAATCCAAGGAGCTGGTATGCAGAGTGTATTTCAATTTTTCAATTACCTGTTTACTAGCTATTTGTACATTGGAATCTAGGTGAGAAATAGTAAGATAAGCGTGGTCTGCTGAATTCAGATTTTCAATTGAGATTACTTGGGGAACATGATGTATTTTTAATATTTTTTTTTCTTCCACCACCCCCCCCCATCAGTATGCTTGTTTTGCTGCTCTCTTCTTACATTGTAAGAATTTTTGTTCTTTTCTTACATCAAAGAATAAAAACGCACTATAGCAAAAAAAAATTTAAAGCATGCATTATACGAGTAATCAGTAACGTGCATATGCATATCCACATAATACACAAGAAATCAGCACGACAACACAGATAAAATGTCCCCCTCAACGCCTCTGGAGATTGAAGATACTTTCAGTACTTCTGAGATGAGTAGTAATTATCATCATACTACGTGTACGGGCAATCAGTAGCTTTGGATTTGGTTGTAAAATCTGAAGGAGGGAATTGGGTGTACTTACAAATCTGATTTTAAAGGGAAACGGCTGACACAGAAGGGAGGTACAGAAACGTGAGCTGTAGGAGATGGCTTCCTGTAAGCATCCACGACCGGCAACACAGATGCAGTGAGGGAGAACCACACAAACACAACTGATCCTCCGAAGTTCCCTTCCAAGAAGCATTTAGTTGCATTCAGGGAAGACAGAGACACAGCGTTTTTTGCCTTTTTGTACTCAGATAAGTAATCAACTTGTTTACTCAGAATTTGGGGAGAAAGTACGTAAACAGCATGGAAGCTGTCAGAATAATTTTTGCGAATATTCAAAATGTGAAGGAAAGAAAACAATCTCAGATCAATTGTTACATTGCTTATTAGGACAGATCCACTGTCACTAAACACAGATGCGAAGGTAACTGCCACTGCATGTCAAAATAGCTGGCCACACAATGCCTAGGAACCATAAAATATTTCATCATTGTTATGCAACCATCTTGCACTTGTAACATCCAAGTACACACCAGTGTGGAAAGCAGTTAGCATTCTCTGCCAGCCAAACTGTGAGTAGGAAGAAAATGGTGGGTTAAATTCTTCACCTTATCATCGCATTAATTAACTATGGTGACAAGTTAGCAGTTACAAATCTCTGGAGCAACAAGTTGTTACTTGTGAATTATTGTTCTCCAGTACCTCCCAGCAAATGCAATTATGTTTCCTCATGCCCTGGTGACACAACAGATATTTTGTTTCATTTTTCTTGTGGCAGGGATTACCACTTGACCTTCAAGCAAAGAAATTCTTCCCAGAGTAAATAACAGGATAAAGTTCCAAATGTTCCAGCGTTTGAGGATTATAGGATTTGCCTTGGTTACGCAGCCTGATGTGAAATTGAGGATTCATTTTGGTTTCTGATCTCAAGATGAAGGCTGGCTTAGCAGCTCACGTTGGTAGCTGAAGCCAGGCCCCCAGAGTCAGTACCTGCTGTAAAAGCTGTGCAAAAGGTGGGATAATACGTGAGCAGCTTGTTCTTTTGATGATTCTTTGCAGGTACAGAGATGGCTGGAAGTGCCAGAACTGAGGATGTCCATACAATTCCACTTGGAATGTTTTAAGTTATGAGCTGATCCCATGTGATCACACACTGTTTTACACACATCTCATTCCATGACAAACTCGCAGTGCACCTACAGAACTGGGGACACCAACGTCTCTCCACAGGTATTAGTTGGATGAGGATTTGGGCAATCTGGTGTAGTGGAGGGTTTCCCTGCCCATGGCAGGGGGGCTGGAACTAGATGATCTTTGAGGTCCCTTCCAACCCGAACCGTTCTGTGATTCTATGATTCTATGCATGCAGAAATAGACACGGATACGAGTGTGCACACCACACAAGCTATTGCACAGAATAAGCCATTAACCGATCTCATGGCAGTCGGAACATGCTGGTGAGGACCAGGCGAGGTCAGTTTTCCCGTTCAGCTTTCAAGCACCAGATGGCTCTCACGCTCCGCAGAACTCAAAAGGAGCTTCCTGGGCCAAGAAGCACCTTCTCTTGGAAACTTCTCCCAGTGCCCGAGTACAGGCACCCATTTGCACCTGGGGTGCCTCAGCCTAAGCAGGCAAGCACTGAGTTGCCACCTAATCAGAGTCATGATTCAGAGATGGGCAGAGAGTTCTTGGAACTGTCTGAAGACTACGCAACTGGCTCAGTCTCTGTCTCCCCTAGCACATGCAGCTACACAAAGTAGACAAAAAGCTTATGGACGCCAGCCCAGTGTTGACAGGAGTTCAGGCACTGACATTTAGCTCTTCAATGGAAATTAATAAAAAAAGGAGTTCCTGCGGTAGGAGAAAATGAGATTTTGACCTCAGGGACCAATTTCTCTGGTCTATCCTAGAGAAGCAAGAGATAAGGTTAAAAAATCAGAAGCCAGAGAGAGCACACACTTGAAAGATTATTTAGGGAATGGTTCTCCACCCTAGGACTCAAGCAAAAGCTTGTAAATTGCTGAGTCTACACTTATAAAACATTAAGAATTACTCTGTGTATCTGTGACGCCCAAAGAAAAAAACAGTTTGTTACTTCAGGAACCAACTAGTCTGTTTCGTCTATAGCTGGTAAGAGATTCCAGCACATCCGTTCTTTGTGTGGAGCCTCTGGGGTTGGTGGGGGTGCTGTGATGGTTGGATCTAGTTAACATGCCCAAAAGAGTCCAAGACCTACCAGCTGTTGGTAAACTGGCTACCATAGGGACTGGCACCAAAAAGATTTACAAAACAGACGGTAAGAACCTTCGTATAAAGGATCTGTCACAAGTGTCAGAAGACTTCTTAGATCCCCAGAGCGGCCAAATCTGATAAGCATACTTAGACCACACCTAACTCATTGGGACAGCGCAGTTTAGTGCAAAGATGATCAATTACTTCCACTATTAAACGCCACAGAAGGGAGCTGCAACCATGCTTTGTGTAACAGTATTTCCTAACGATCTTGCCCAAGCTACGAGAAAGCTGAACCCTACATGCACCTCGGTCCTGGCAGGTTCGAATTCACAGCTTCCATTTCCCAAGAGAGTGTCCCAATCTCCAGGCAATGTGCCTTTCACCAACACCCCTTATCGAGCTGGGAGACTGTACCAAGTGACACAAGGAAGAATAAACAACAAGGAACCTGATTTTATACTTAGCATGTAAACAACCTTCTGGCAAGGCAGGGAGCGGGAACGGGGAACACTGGGAAATGAAAGTCTGCAAGGAGTTCTTGGATAAAATTAAGAAACAGTTTGGGCAGAGGGAGCAGAATCAGCTTCTTTTCAGAGAGCGTATTACCAGACTCTAAAATGCAGTTCCTTCACGTTTATTCTAAACAATTAATAAACAGTTTCTAAAGCCAGGAATCAAATCTGAAGGCTTCTTTCCTACAGAGGTCATGGATTGTGCATTCTAAAGCTCTGGGGTTCTCTGTGTTTAAGTTTCATTTTAATATACATACATCTCAAGGTCAGTTTATCCCTTGCACTCTTTTTTTTTTTAAGGAAAATTTTACGCACTCATTTTACCCATACTGCTCTTTTTCAGAGTGAGAATCTGTTGCCTTCAAGGCTTGCACAGTCTGATAAAAAGGCACTGTTCCCAAAGGTGACATTATATGAGCTGAAAAAGCTTTACTTACAGATCTTTTTGTTTCAGGTTACATCTTATCATTAATGATTCGTGTACTGAAAAATAATTTAGTTCCAGAGGAAGGCACGGATCCTAAAGCTCACCACAGAGCACACAGAAAAGAGCGGGCTGCTGATGTCTAGTCATTGCTACTAGCAGTGAAACCATGAACTCCAAGTCTAGTTTTCATCAGCTGGAATCATATTTTTATCTGGAATGACACCTGTAAGTAATATATTCATGAGAAGGCAGAGACTGCAGCACCGTAAGGTTCAACCAAGAGGCATAAAGGTTATAAAACCGAACACAAAACAACCAAACATAACAGCTGGTATTGGCTTTCACCCGCTGCAGAAAAGCCATCAAGGAGGATCAAGCAAGATGCAAAGCACTGATACTTCAGGCTGCAGCTGCTTCTGGTCCCATTAGACTCAAAGATGCAACATCATAGCACTGTACAGAATCAGTCATCACAGGTGATGAAATGTTTGCAACACTGAAACCTCAATTTCACTAAAAGTCAGAAGAAGTAAGGTGTGGAGACACAATAAATCAAGAAACTGAGCAGCTCTGCAGATGGTTACTAAGAAATCCTGTTCCACGGGAACTCACAGGAGCTCAGAAATAATACAGACTTGACTGCATTCAAGAAACAGGGAGAGACGTAATGAGTTTTTGTCTTCTCGTAACACTGATGCTACAAATGATACATGGAGCACTGGTTCTATGGTGATGGGCACAGACTCAAAACACGTTAGCTGTAAATAGGAAAAACTGCTTATGCAAGCATCTCCCATGACGAATTGTAACTCTCTGTCTAATTGTACGGTTGGGTTGCTACATGTTTTCAACATCTTATTAGCATTTTTAAAAGCTGGATGATGGGATATGAAGAGAATTCCTAATCCTTCGCCTTTACCTTCAGAAATACTTCAAAAGTCAGAGGGGGGAGGAAGGCACAGCTGGTTCTTCCACTTGGCTCCTAACAGCAGAGTGAGATGGGACCCCTCCTAGCCGTTTTTCTTGCTGTTTTCATTATCTTGGTGGCAATGGCATTCTATTACGAACATCCCACAGTAGAAGTACCTCCTGGATTTAGTCAGCGCCAAAAGCTTTACATTTTTCACTACGTCCTGAACTTCGGTTTTGGTCTGGTAGGTAAAACTTGATTAAAGCTGGAGTTTTTAATTTAATTTCTGATAGAGTGGTAATGGATTGGTGTGGGGTTTTAGAATTAATGTTTAAATATATTGCAAATATGCAACTGGATTAATTTGGTGATGGGAACTCAGCTGGGTATAATAGACTCTGCTGCTTGCTATGCAGCACTGCTGGTGAAAATGTGGAAAAACAAAATTCTGCAGATGGCATAATACCCATTTTCTTTCTGATGGTCTATGTTTTAGCTTTTTAACCTGTTGCCTCAATGCAGTGCTGGAAGGCTTAAGCAGCTTACTGCACTTCTGTGTGGAACCTCTGCTCTGTATGACACAGTGCTTATGTCGACAATGAGCAATCAAATGATGTCCTTGATCTCAGTGGTCTTCTACAAGTGTATCACTCTGCTTCTGAGCCATCTGAAAAGCAGCTGCTCCATTCACCATCTTTTGCCTTTCAATATCTATATGACTTTCTTTTTTTGAGACAGTATACACAACATTAAAGCTGCCTGTGTCATTGTTTTTGTTCTATTTTCGATCCTCCCTTGTTTTTCGTCGTTTCTCTTCAAAACTAAAATGTGACTTCCACTTGTCTTTCTGTTTCATAAATTATCCTTTCCTGAATTAATTGCTGCCTCTATCATTTTAAAAACACTTCTTCTGTAATACCTAAATCAAGCTTTTTTTCTTTTAACATTTTAAATTATGAAAAAAAATATTTTTTTTTGGCTTGTGCATTATATTTCACTTCAACTCCATATTCTAACGTTATTATTTCTTCCTCCCTTTCCCTGCTACATTGCTTATTAAGTTTTGTTTGTAGTCAGCCAGTAAGCTCCTAAGAACACAATTCATCGTGTCGCTTGAGAAGTGCCCCACCCAAGTCTGTACACTGATAGGATAGTAATTGAAGTAAAATTAAATTTTCTTATATCTGCTACACGATGTGTGGATTTCCACATTGTCAAAACACTCTTTATATGCTCTTTATGCATCAGACAAAGTTTTATCTTTGTGTAATTCATACGTAAAAGGCTAAACTGCAGAATTTAGAAACTTACTGGTGATAAATGTATATTTTAACTTCTGGTCTTAGCATTTTGTATCCTTTTTGCTGGCCAGTGAGAGGCAAAACAAAAGCACTGTACCACATCATCTCAAAGGAGCAGAAAGATAAAAATATTAATGTATGGTTACACAAAGGTTTAAATGCAAGTGAAGTCTGAGTCACGTAGCAACTCCTGGTATTGCTGTTAGGCCAATTACTTACATCAAAGTAGCCAAATACTTTCAAAGGATGACAACCCATGATGTCAAAACTGCAGGGAAAAGTAAAGTTTACTAGCATATCCAGTCTGGGACAAAAGATACATGTGAAATCACTGGAGACAAACCAGTTTGAAGTAGTTCTGCCCAATCTAATAGATTGTATGAAGAAATGTCTGCCTTCACCTCTGAGGACACACTTAAATAAAAACAGCAACATCATAATGTCAATAAAACTTCTTCACTGAAATCTATTAACCCATCTTTTGTTTTTCATCTAATATTCAGTCTATAATAAGAGAAGTTGACATATCAGTAAAGCTAAACAACAGACAGGGGACTTGTGACTGATCATGCCTAGGAAATAGGGGGGCTGATTAAATCATGCTACCTCTGCGTTAACAGTTCTGTCAGCTTCTTGTACCCAACTCATTCTAGTAATGACTCAAGTAGAAGGGCTGGCACCACGTGCACTTCAGATGAGATCTGGGGTGTCCACAGCAGGCCTTTGTACCTGTGTAACAAGGACAAAGGACCCCAACAGCATGGATAGCACAGCTCTGTCACATCCCTCCGACAGACATTACTACACGCATGTTACTGCAGGGCCTAGTCCTTTGCTTGAACATGTATCTGGACTCCAACTGCTAAGCTAACTCAGCTCTTACACAGCTTTTCTCCTGCTGCATGGAGATCTCCACACCAGTTGTTGCCAGTGGGATCGTTTTTTCAGTATTTCACTGTGAACGCCAGACACTGTTGCACTTAAGTGTGAGGGCAGAGGCTGAGCTAGACAACGCTTCAAACGAGGTCTAGTTCTCTAGTCCCGTACTGCCATTGTCTTATGCTACCTGAAAGTCTTCACTAATTTTCCAGCTGTCTTGTCAGCTATAGAGTTGAAAGATCCTTAATCAATATATAACCAAACTATCCAATTACTGGTTTACAAATTACACTACTCAGCAGTGGCACTTACTTATAAATGTCAAAATGTAGGTCTTTGACTGACTTGGTTAATCACCTGCAAAAGAGGAAGCATGAAGATCCTGAAAGGGGGATTTCTGGTAACAGAGAAGTAAGTGACACGTAGTCTAGCTATACTCTTAAGAGTACCTTTACGTACACGTAGCCCAGTCTTGCAGCTGTCATATGAGCAATCACCTTTTTCCAGAAACTGTAGGCAAAACCCAATACGTCACTTTGAGGGAGCATATATACTGAAAAAAAGGACTTGAATCAGAGAACAAAGCAAAAATGCAAATTCTGCTGGTTCTTGTAGAACTTCTATTCACAGGACGTGTACAATTTAAAACAACACCACAAGATGAAAATTTCATTTGCATAGTAACAGAAAAAACTAGGAAGATTATGTGTGATGATACTAATCACGGATGTCTCCCATAACTGTACGTTGTTTCAGGTAATTCACGGAAGACATTCACAGTCAACAGTGAAGTGACTAAGAGCAACACAAACAAATGCCAATCTCTGTGAAAGCTGACCCAGGAAACCATTGCAGGTTTAACAAATACGAGATATCAGACGGCCAACACCAAACACAGCAGTTGATAAAGACTCCACTATTTTTTAGTACTTCCAAGACAAAGAGGATCTCTAATTCTATACAAACAATATAGCTAATTACAGGTTTAACTTTTACTGTTGCAAAAATATTAATATAAGGAACGAAAATACTGGAAGGAATTGGAGGATTAAAGAAACAAAATTATTTTCCCATGGACATCATAAGGGGTTCTGTAGGAGGAATCAGTACAAGACTAAAACTTGGCCACAAGATGATCCTTCTGGCATATGGGATCAGCTCCTCAAATGGCCTAAAATGGATACCTGTATCAAATTTAAAAGGACCACCTTATTGAGCTACACGAGGTCTGCGAAACGTGAGGTAAAAGCCACAAGACTTACTGAGTTGCATATATACCTTTGTATATGCACATATACCTTTGTATATGCAATTCTTTTTGAAATACATATGCATGAATAATGGCAACAGCAAGATAGATCACTCATTAGAGAAGTCTATTGCTGAAGAAGAAAAGTACAAAATCTAATCCAATATAGTGGAAATATAGTGATACTGCCTCATGCTTTGCATCTTGTTTTTGGAATGGACTAGAGCAGACAACTGAAACAGATTAAAGCCATCCAGAGGCAATGAAGTAGAGTAGCTCAGAGTGAAATAAGAACCTTCAGCCCGAGCATTTAAGTAAGAATCACTGAGCTGTAAGAAGATCAAGCTGAGGTTCAAAGCTATTCCTGTTCAGGAAGCCAGCTGTGGTAGACACTACAGGATTTTTTTCCTGCACGTTAAAAAGTGGCATAAGTTTGGGAAACTAAAGGATTAGCCACACTTCTTCATCCAAAGCTGAAGCCTAAAATGCTGTAACTACTCTCTCCTTATTTTGTTCAGGCACACGGCTACTTAAATACCTGACAAGTTGAAGTATTTGACACCTTCTTTTATCTACTACTAATAGTTTGATTTTTTTTCCTACTGATGAAAACTAAGCCAGGATTTCACCACTGAAGAACAAAATCATTTGAAAATCACCATGCTCTCATCTAACATTTCTAATATAATCTGGAAATTACCACCAAAGCAAACTCTTATCTTCTGCTAGATAGCTCTGGTACCATTTTTGCCAGAGATGTCAGACAGTATTAATGAGCCAAATGACTGCACTTCTGTGAAAGCAGCTCTCAGGCTCAAAGGCCTTGCTTTGGGAGAAGCACGGACATAAGGCACCTACAGAAGACAAATTCACCCATGCCTGTCAAATCTACTACTCTTTGAATTTCAAATTTTGGCAGGTATTAATTACAATGAAGATGTATCCAAATCATCATCATAACTGGTCACTTTGTTGTAAGAATCATCAGGAGACAAAGTTTGACTTGACCGTGGAATTTTAAATTTTTCATGATCAATCTCCAGGTAAGATGGAAATTTGCACTAATTTTTGGCTTCCTTTGCTTTATTAACAGGCAAAAGTTTTGGAAAAAATCAGAATCACCTCAGAAGTCCATTTCCTCAGGACTGCAATGGATAATATACCACCATTAAAAGATAAACATCTTTTAATCAAGGACTTAAGGTTTGAAAAGGTTAAAGTAAGAATTTACCAGCCAAAAATATCAACCACTGGCCAAAGAAGAGGAATACTTTATTTTCATGGAGGAGTTGGACGGTTCGGAAGCATTCGTAAGTAATATATATAATATGAGCTATAACTACAGACACTATGTAGTTTCTGATCTGACATGGCATTTCTTGAATGACAAGAACAGTTAGTAGGTTAAAGATTATAAATAACAAAACTAACTTCAGGACAGCAGAATGATTTTATTTACACACAGCAGGCATCATGTTAAATTGTCTTTAAATAGGTCATGTACAAAGAACTTTTATTCTCTGATAATTTATAACACCTGTTTTCTTCCTTCTTCTCCCTCATTTCTACGAGAAAACTTGTAAATCTAATTAGAATTTTATTTCTTATTTTAAAGAACCATATTGGTTCTTTAAAATATACCATATTTTAAAGCTAAGTTTAAGAACCATATACATGTGTGTGTATGCCTCTGCGTATGGGTGTATACTGCTGTGTCTTTACAGTGGCAAAACAAGGAAAAAATACATTTTGGCATTTGAAACAGAAAGGCATAAGAGACTAGATGGTGGCTCATGCACAAGAAAAATTCTTGTGCTAGATTTAGCAGGGCTTTTCTTGTTTGTTTGTTTTGTTTTGTTTTTAAATAACTTCTCATCTTCAATACCGCTTGAGAAGTGGCAGCAGTGGTGCTTTCTATTTACTAACTTTTCAAAGATGAGACTGAAACAATGCATTGGTGTAAATTCGACGTTTCTTACTAGCAAGAAGATTCTCACAGACGTAATGAAATTATGAGCCATGTCCAGATCAGAGCCCGCCACAATAACAGAATTACAGCGTAGCATTAATCACAGAATAGAGATAAGAATTTCAGAATATTTTCATCCAACTTATTTTTAAAGCAAGTCACAATTCCATTGAAATATTTTGTTTTACAGGGGCCTACGAAAGAACATGCCGCTGTTTCGCCAGAAAAAGCAATTCAGTGGTTGTGTCTGTTGGGTAAGTGGAGTCAATCCAGACACACGAAATGGCAGCCACTTGTGCCTCCTGCTAGGTTTGTCAGACTTCAATGCGTGCTCCCTGCAAGCCAAGCTCCCTGTAAAGTGCACACAGTGTTTATATTTAATGATCACGTGTCGCAAGCACTAATTACTCTTAGGAAGAATTAGTCAGTTAATCCCCACTTGCTTATTTTCAAACAAAATCCATTATAATAATTTTGTAATTTGCAGCCACCAATAAGAGGTGAGGATGCTTCATCCTAAAGCCACATCCAAACCACCTTAAACTGAAAGCTGACACTGTGTTTGAAATGTAACTGGTTCTGTTAAAAGCACAGTTGCCCAGACTATTAAATTCCCATTTTAGTATTAGTTCTGAAAAACTGGGGGGGGGAATATCTACATTTAACTTGCAATCAACCTGAGATAATAATTCAAAGTATTCTTCTAATGACCTGTAATGCATTTTCAAAAGAACTAATTTTTAAAAGCTCAGGAAAAGAGTTGATGTCTTGGAAACTGATTACTATGTATATCCTAAAAGAGCTGAAGAACCATTAACTCTTACTGATTCTGTTTATAAAGAATTCAGCTTATAGAAAACCACTGAAAACCTTTCATAATTTCATTACCAATTTTCTACACACATATTCTCTAATAATTTGTTTTGAAATGTTCACTTCAATTTCTAACTGGAATTGCTGATAACTGATTCATGCATACCTGTCTTGCCACCTAATTCTACAATTACTCAGTATGTGCCTTCAGTCACCTAAAAGACAGACAAAGAAGTATTTTGCAAAGATACAGTAGAGTACTGACTGCCCCAAACTTTAACGATAGTAGGAAATAATACAAGAAAAGCAATAATTACAATCATTTCTATTGCTGTAAATGTAATCCCAGAAAATTTTCCTATCTTCAGAATGAAATATATGATTGAAAAATGACAGTTGGATCGTTCACTGGATACGACTATGTTAAAACACTTTCACTCCTGTTTAGGTACCGCTTAGCTCCTGAGCATCCATACCCAGCCCAGTTTGAGGATTGTCTCACTGCCACCATACACTTTCTGAGGAATGCGCAAGACTACGGAGTAGACCCTTCTCGCATTATCATCTGTGGAGACAGCAGTGGAGGTACGCTCACTGCTGCTGTGGCCCAAGCACTGGTGAACAGAAGAGATCTCCCAAAGCTGAGAGCACAAATCCTAATATATCCTTATCTCCAGTGCGTGGACTTTGATTTGCCTTCTTATCAGCAAAACGAGAAGGTCCCCATTTTAATAAAGGAACGAACCCTTGTTCTTGGTTTGAAGTATCTCAACATAGACCCGCGACTCAAGGAAGCACTGTTTCAAGGTTATCATGTTCCAGAAGATTTGCGACTGAAGTATCAGAAGTGGGTGAGTGTTGACAACATCCCTCACGAGTTTAAAGCAAGAGGCTACAAACCAAGCACAAAACATCCACCCTCAGAAGAAATCTACACGCAGGTCAAGCCTCTATTTGACACTGTTTTTTCACCACTGCTAGCTGAAGACAGCGTTATTGCTCGACTTCCTGAGGCTTTCATTTTGACCTGTGAATTTGATGTGCTTCGAGATGATGGACTGCTCTACAAGAAACGGTTAGAAGATCACGGTATAAAAGTGACCTGGTGCCACCTGCAAGAGGGATTCCACGGAACAGTATTCTTGGCTCCTTTTGGCAGGCTGCTAGCATTCCGATCTGGAACTAAAGGCCTGGAAAAGATAATAAATTTTCTAAGATTGATGTAAAATTCCATTTCTTACTTTCCTTTCCTGATTCCTGTCTCTCATTGCTTGCAAAGATTTTTAAAAAACACTCTCAATTTTCCTTTTCTTAAATCATCATCTTAAGTTTCTGCAGTGCATCTGTCTTCTTTTTACCCAATAAATGGATGTAGTTATGGCTTTTGCTTGGTTTCCTCTTATGATAGACAATATCAGATGAATTTACCTTTCTTTCCTCTACCACCTCTTTAGAATTTTGTCCTGTATCCATAAAAGATCTGGTCTCCATGGTAAGTGTTTTGCAATATAGTTTAGCTCAACAAAGTTCTGGTAATATTAATACACAAACCGTGCTTTGAGGACAACTTGGGGCAGGTAACAGGGCACGAATCTACAGTTTAGGTATATAATGAGCACGGTCAATGATTTATCAAAGCCTGTATCTGGTGAAAGCTCAATTTGAGGCAAGCTGAAAGAGAATTGAATACAGGAGAAAGAATTTGAGCATAGACAAAAAAGAAAGAAGTGGAAGGAAAGGAAAGGAGATCAGGAAACGAGTTAGGCTGGAACTACAGATGTTATAAGAAGTATTGGTTAAGGAATACTACGTCTATTTAAAAAATAATGCATATACATTTTAAATATAGACAAAGATATATGGGAATATACAGTAATATTAGTTACTTTACAAAGAGCTTGCATTAACTGTAGGCCTGCATTGTCTGAAGCAGGAAGCACTTTCTCACAGAGGAACAATGCAAAGTGGCAGTAGATCACAAATAAAGGGATTCAGGAACAGATCAGAACACTGTCAGGACCTGAAAACTAGTGAAATGCTGGGAAGTTCAGGATAGCTGGGAGGTCTTGACACTATTTGAACAGCTATGTGTTACAGGAAGATGTTAAAAGAAATTAAGAAAGGGAAAGCAAATTGCTGTACATCATCCTGATCACCAGATGTCAGTATACAACTGAGTTTTTTTAATGCCAGCAGAAAAACCTCGTAAACTTCTTTGTGCTCTAGGCACAGAATGAGTACCCGAGAGACATGACAAAAGGTCAACCTGTGGTTTAGACGAATATTTTTACCGAACTTGTTGTTATGCCTTCATAAGTTACAGCGACTTATTACAGAAATCTACAACTTCAACTATCTTCTGTTTTGCTATCTTCACATTACCTCCTTGTACCACTCTAGTTAAAAGTCAATATACAACAGCAAGTATTTTGAAAAATCAGCAGGCAATTAGAAAACATTCAAAATGTATTAACTCTACTATTTATAAATAATATGATTGATTTAAAAGCATTTAACATTATTCGCTGCCTATGATGCACATTCTCTGTACTGCTCCTGAAATAAACAGGCATAATCCTGCAAGCTATGTCTGCTTTTATTCCTGTAAATTTTCTGTCTTTGATTGCCCATTACCTCAATGATTCATTGTGTTTGCTGACTCTCTCATGACAGCGAAGAAACTGGTAACCTAAATATTCAGAGTAATGAGTGTCAAGACAAACCTGGCCACAGCAAATGAAGGCCAGCTGCAGTTTTTATGTTTACATTCAAGCTATGTATGAATTAATAAAAATATATTTTGGTGTGGTGACTTTTCATGAAATCCCAGGTGGATGTTCCAGAGTGGCTTATTTGGACTCCTTTTGTGTGGAGCAGAGTTCATCCATTCTGAGGAACAGAACTGCACAGCTACCTATATCCAAGAGAAACCTATAACCAAAGATTTGGCTACATTTCAAAACACTACATAACAAAAAACCTCTGTCAAGTCACCATTTCAAAAATGTACCTGATCTGAATTGTATAGCACAAGATCCAAGTTTCCATCGCTGAAAGCTAATGGGTAATATTTGTCATAATTTTTTTTAATTTTTTTTTTTTAATACAGTACAGCTTTTTACTGCAGAATTTGTTAGCAGATGTTTAATCTAGGAGTCATTTGGAAGGCATAGACTACAAAGAATAACTTACAGGAAGAAAGGTTAAAATAAAGATTTATGGCAGACTTAATGAAAGATGCTTTCAGTCATGAGTAAGAGCAAAATGCATAGGCAGTAGCTACTAATTTGGGTGGGGAGATGGAGATAACGAAAAGGGAGGACACCAAAAGGTAGGTGGGAGGCAGGCTAAATGAAGGAGTTATATCAAGCAAATACACATCACCTTGAAAAAACAGTATCATAGAGTATGTACTAAGCTGTAATTTCTTACAGCTTCTTATTGTCACTGTAAAGAGCATACTAAACCCATCGCGCAGATTGGAACACCAAGGCTTACAGGCATGCAGAGGCCTGAGATGCTTTCAGTCATGTGTTCACATAACCACAAGAAAAGAAACGTGAACTGGAGGACAGTAAGTTTCTTACATACCCTACTTGGTAAAACTGATGTTAGTTAAATTGCACTACAGAGTTTAATTGTCCTACTAGAACCACAGAATCACAGACTGGTTTGGGTTGGAAGGGACCTCAAAAATCATCCAGTTCCAATCCCCCTGCCATGGGCAGGGAAACCCTCCACTACACCAGGTGCCCAAAGCCTCATCCAACCTGGCCTTGAACACTTCCAGGGATGGGGCAGCCACAACTTCTCTGGGCAACCTGTTCCAGTGCCTCACCACCCTCTGAGTGAAAAATTTCTTCCTTATATCTAATCTAAATCTGCCCTTTTTCAGTTTAAAGCCATTGCCCCTTGTCCTATCTAAATTACCTGGAGTAAATTAAAAAAAAAAACAAAAAAAACAAACAACAAACCAACCAAATAACCAAAAGCCAGGAAAATTATATTTACCAGAGTGCTTCATTCTGAAATGTAGAAAAAAAAAAAAAAAAGAACATATCAGAACCTATTATTTCTGCTTTTAATTCTTCTTTGGAACATGTAATTATTTCCTTTTTTCTTTCTTTATGCCTTCCAGTTAGCTATGAGGGCTGGCTATACTTGGCAGAATCGATACCCCAGTCATTACAGCCGGCTACTTCACGTTTCAGTTAACCCTCGTAGTTATTTCCTGTATTACACATAGTGGCTCCGCAATCGTCAACTAACGACAGGCTACCTGTAGGCTGTGCTTCCTCACACAGCCTCAACCAGAAGGGAAACCTTTGGCAATGTTTTAGAGAAAGATATTACAAGAAAAACAGTAACATATGACATTCTCATAACTCATCAGCACCAACTGCCCTGACACTTCTGCCTTTGCTAGTGTTTGGTTCGAAAGCTGCCTGCCTCTTATGCTGATAAACAACTGATGTGACGTTGATAAGGTTTATGCATTCTCAACCTACAAAGAAGTCTGTGGTTCCACATCTACATAAGCCTTACGAAAACCAACAGGTTAACAAAAACCAACAGATTAAGCCAGGGGAAAACCAGCAAAGGTCATATTTCTTTGAATAGGTATTGTTCTAACACTTTGCCTTCCCGTCACTACTATGACTATCAGAAATATGCTGAAAAATTAAGAAAAGAATGAACTTTAGAGGTGACTAACTTCTTGCATAAACAGAGGCTCACTGACAAAAAAGGGAAGGATTTACTGAATTATTGTCAATTCTGTACTCACCAACTGATATATTAAACATGTCAGTCTCCAGCAACACTAAATTCAATGAATCAAGTATCAATTTTGTGAGCTCCGAGGAGCTGACTGTTTTATAAGAATAAAGAACCACAGACATATCCGTAAGGCACATCACAATGCCAAACTCCAAGCCGTGTTAATTTCCTCCATTTTATTGGAATCTCCTGAATCTTCTTTAGCTAATGCAAAACTGTTCTCACCTACGCATAGGTGAAGACTTTGTGAAAGCTGGGGTTTTGCAACGAGCTTGCTGAAAGAAAAAAATAATGGATGTAGCAAGACACATCAGCAAACACCTACAGTTTAAGGAGCTACTACTAGTAGTTTTTTATCCAGGATGGGTACCTATCTACCGTCAGAAAGAGAAGAAGCCTTTTTGTTTGCAAAGATGTAAGGTACTCATGACATGGAGTAGATTGAAAGGGAACAAAACATTTTTTTGACAATTTAACATCTCAAAAACAATTGGGAAAAAAAAAAACATCAAAAAACTCACTCTGAACAAGCATCAGGAGTAAAGTGACACGCAGCAACAGGATTATTTGAGTCACACAAGCATTTTGGACTATAAGGCACCAAATATCACAAAACACTGGTGAATATGAGCCTTCCTAGAAGGACTCAGTAGCTCCAAATCCATGGGATTTGCTTGATTCTGGAAAAATAGGAAACTATGGTAACAGGGCAGGGAGGAAGGACTGAGGTGCTGACAGCATACAGTTAGAGCATGCTCTAACTGAGCAGACTTAGTATGCTCTAAGAGTAAAATATTCAGACACTAAGTAAGAGTAAAATATTAAGAGATTAAAAGTAAAATATTAAGATATTATTCTGAAATATTACTTAACCAACACTTCTTTATCAACAGAAGGGCTATAGTGCATAACTGAAGGATCTCTGTTCTGACTGTCATGAATGTACAACAGATTCTTACTAAAGACAACTGCCAGGGCATAACATCAAAAACCAAACAAACAAAAACCCCAAAGTGTCCCTTTTTTAAATTTATTTTTAAATAAAAAAAGACAGTAAAGAAATATTCCTTCCACTCTATCAGATCCATTAAAGTTTCAAAACAGAGGTGGCATCTGTGAGATTCATAGATTCATAGATTTCTAGGTTGGAAAAGACCTTAGAGATCATCGAGTCCAACCATCCCTAATCCCCATTAAACCATATTCTCAAGTAGATCATCCACCCTAAATGATGTTTTGGTTTTGATTAAAGGTGTTTAACTATTGAATCACTGGATACTGTGAAGACAAGACTGCTGCCAACACAGTGTCAGCAGCAGTTTATACAACCACTGCAGACACACATCCTCTTTGCTATGAAGTTTTCGTAATATGAACGGAGATATTCCAAATAGGTATCTAATTAAATTGTTATTGGTTGCTCTTACAAGTTTAATTGACTGCCACT